TTATTGGTGTGCCTTTCTTTTTCTAACAGCAGAACTGCAACGGCATGGACTAGCCCGAGCCGTTTTTCTTCCCAGGGTAATAAGGGCAACGGTTAGGATGGCAAGGCAAAAAAAACCGTGCAGTTACTGGGAGCCATCAAAGAATCAGCCAGCATTTCGGGCTGGTAAGATTCCTGCCCCAAAGCCCTCAACACTGAAGTAGGATTTCTGCCCAAATCCTAAAAGCCTCAACCCCAAAATAGGCCCGTGTCACAGATCAGGAGAAAAATTCCTCAAGCCCAAACACTTTGAAGCCCTTTGTCCCAAGCTCCGAGCCAAAAGCCTTAGATCCCTCGAGCCCCGTGCTTGCTGATTGCTAGAAGAGTTTAGGGTTTGGGTTTAAAAAACATACCCCCCATACCCCCCCCTTCCCTCCACATCCTGATACTACATGGTCCCATGACATATACGCAATGGTCGTACTTTGTTTGGAATATTTGGTTTAAGGGGGATGGGAGGGGTTTATTGGAGATGAATACTATATGTTATTGGGCACTATGCAGAGGCGGTGATTATAGTGATCCTTTCCACTATGCAGCAGCAAGGATTTCCTGACCCAATGAAGAATCCTAAACCCTAAACCCCTAAACCCTAAACCCTAAGAAAGCTTTCAACCATGGTTGCTCTGGACCCACGCATCTTGTTGACCATGTCCTGCTTTCGGAAAGTTGCATTTGAAGGAACGCTAACGCCACATATAGTTACAAGAGGGTGAGCATGTGTCAAAGGCCCGCAAAACTAGACCCTAAACCATAAACCCTTGTCTACCCATGGGTTCAATAGCGGCAGCAAAGCCAAAAGCAGATGCATCAATGACGCCAAAGGCGCAAGAAGCACCGATCTTAGCTCCGCCTTGCTCCACTATATCCTAACTACTGAGCCTCAAGTTGTAAATCGCAACCATGAGCCGCAAACCTGCTTTCCTAAACCCTAAGCCTTAAGTCTACACCAGGCCCTAAACTTCCCAAAGACTTGTGTCCTAAACCCCTGGAAAGGCTTGGAGTACCAACCTCCACTTGCTGACGCTGCTCCCCCCACCACGGCAACCGGGGAGCCGCGCAGCACTTAGCCCATTTTTCCACAACTGTTGAGGTTTGCTTGCAATTCCTGTGCCTACCCATGGCTGCTTTTGTTATGGCTATTTCTTCGAGAGCTTCTCATTCTTGTCATTCTCTTCGTTATTCTTGTTATGCACGTTTGCATGATGATTGTTAATTATTGGTATGTACGACGCGCTTTGCATTGCCCAGGCAGTGCCTTGCAATCTGGGTACTAGTCTCACCTTTGGTTAGCTTGGACTGAAGGAATGAAAAAGAACATGGAAAGGACTATAAGACTGTAATGGGTTATTTAGGGACTCCTATAAGGATCCAGTCCTTCATGCCTGGCTAACCAAAGGCCGGTAGTGTGCCCATGCGGCGCCTCCGGTGCTGGTGAGCGACTCTTATGGATTGCTGTTACGGCGGATGTAGTAGATGATGTGGTCTCCTCAACACATAGAAGTTTAGTTGAAGTTCCTCACCAATTTGGGCTTGACATCGCATTCTCACACATTTGGCCGGTCCGCCGGTTGGGGTCGCTTGTCACTTCTGTATCCTCCTACCCAAAGGCCCAGAAAACGGAGACATTAGCAGCCCTTGTTCCTTTCTATGCTGCACTCTTTTGGGCTTTGCGATTCCGCTACTTACGGTAAAATGGTAGTTTCCATTTGCCATTATCCCTATATAGACCCAATATTGCCTTAAAATAACCCTGAAACCCTGAACCCCTAAACCCTGAATAGTAGTGTCCATTTTCTTTTCCATTGTAAAACCCCAACATAACCCTAATATAGCCCAATATGAACTTTACATAGCCCCTATATGCGGGCTTGCAAGGCAAAGTCTGGTGACCCTAAGGATTAAGGGTTCAGGATTTAGGGGTTACATGAGCTATAATCTAAACTCCTCGAAGGGGGTTCTGTAGGAGACTATAGAAGGGACTATTATATGGGCTGTTAAGGGGGTACTAGGAGTTGAGATTAGGGCTCATATAGGAGCAATGTTTAGAGTCTAGGGTTTGTTTGGCCCCCCCTTGTAAATACGGCCCGTAATATTTGGGGTAGCCAAGAAAGCGACTAAAATTTGAGAGCCCCCTGTAAGCTCCCGAACCACACTCGGTGGAGGGTTGTTGGTAAGTCATGTCGACTTTGCAATCCAGAATGCTAAGCCCCCAAGCCCTCTAATTATGGTGTCTCCAGCAAAAAACAACATAGTCAACATAGATCCCAATACATTGCAGTCTTGAATGTCATTGTAGGGACTCCCCAAAAAGGGGCCCCCCAATTTTTGCGGAACCTCCCCCCCACTATCCCTATACACCCTACACCTAGCATAGGTAGTTATGAGCCACGTATGCCGAGGCCCGATCCCGAAATAAGGCTTGCAGTCTAAGATGTCTGAACTGGGGCCATTTGATATTCCCTAAGCCCTAAACCCTAAACCATAGACTACGAATGGCAAAGTGCGTTATCTCCCGGAATGGGGAGTATGTAAAGGTGGCACAAGATCTCCTCTATCCACGGTATCTCCGGCTTTAGGGTTGAGGGCTTTAGGGCTTAGGGTTCAGGGTTTAGGGTTCAGTTCCCTGGACGAGGATGATAGGTCTAGAGACAAAATTGCTCTAAACCCTAAACCCTAAAAACAGTTTCATTTTCTTTTCATATAACCCCAACATACTATAGTATGCCTTGAAACAATCTCCTTCTTGCATAAGGTTCAGCATCCGGAGGGCGTGCCTCAAGGTTTCCGAACTCAAAGCCTAGTTCTCTGTCAGCACTAATTTATGTCACGTAGGAAACCCGAAGCTCTAAACTCTAGATCCTAAATGAAACGCGAAGCCCGAAACCCAAAACCCAAAACCCTACATGAAACCCGAAGCCCTAAACCTTATGCAGGGTTTATAGGTTCATACTAACAAGATGATGTAGAGTTAGCAGTTAGCGTGGGACTCAAAAAAAAAGGCTTGCTTTGAACAGGCCAGATCTGGTAGGATCTTAATGTAGGGTTTAGGGTTTTTAGATTAGGGTTTAGGGTTTTTAGATTTAGGGTTTAGGGTTTTTAGATTTAGGGTTTAGGGTTTTGAGGTTTAGGGTGTAGGATTTTTAGATTTAGGGTTTAGGATTTTTAGATTTAGGGTTTAGGGTTTTTAGGTTTACAGTTTTTATGGTTTAGGGCTTTTAGGTTTACAGTTTTTAGGGTTTAGGGTTTAGGGGTCCGCAAATTGGACACCAGTATATACACTCACCAATATCCCTAAGGAACCAGGTTAAATGGTATACTCACCAAACCATTATGAAAACCGGCCTCACATGAAGTGCGTTTTGAACACCCGGCTCTTGAAACTACGGGGCCTGAACCCCAAATCCTAAACCTTAAGCCCCAAGCCGTAGACCTAAGATCCTAAACCCTAACCTTAGACCCTAAGCTCATAACCCCCACGCCCTTTGAAGACAGAGGCATATCAGCAGCCGATGACCTTGCCGAAAGCCTGCCCTTCGTCCAGCAGCTCCGTGAAGAGCGGCCGGAGACTTACCGGTTTTAGGGTTTAGGATTTCGGGTTTTGGATTTGGGGTAAAGGGTTTATGGGTTTAGGGTTTAGGGTTTAGTGTTTAAGGTTTAGGGTCTAGGGGTTGTTGGAAGGAAGTGCAGGAATGCATCAGAACATGGAAGCTGCAATTTGAGCTGTAGGTTCAGGTTCAGGGAATCGAATATCGACTAGAACATGCCATGGAACCTGGGGGTTATGGGGAGACTCAGCTTTAGGAGTTAAGGCGCATGGAAAATGGAAACCACCACATTATACAGGATTTAGGGTCTGGGGACTAGGTAGTTGCAACGCTGGACCGGAGAATCAATGGAACGTCAAATGGCACATGAAATTGAAGTTCGAGTTTTAAGGCATGCAGGATATAACATGCTGGTTGTTGGTAGGGAGTGAGGGAATCATATCATCGGGGATTATGTAAGGGCCACTACAGGAATCCCACATGCACACCCACACGCACGAGAACCTCCCAAGAAATGGGACGCAAGGCCCCTGGAGTGCTGTCTTTTCAGCCCGGGTCCAGGGTTTAGGGTTTAGGGTTTAGGGTATGGGGTTTAGGGTTTAGGGTTTGGGGTTTAGGGTTTAGGGTTTGGGGTTTAGGGTTTAGTGTTGAGGTGTATCATCTCGTATCCTCTTAGGAGTTATTTTGAGTTTTCAGCGTAGTACAACCCCAACGAAGTATTGACTATAATGTTTCTGTTATAGGTCTAAGGAGATTGCAGTCATGGTCCCCACCAAGCCCTCAGAAAGAACCTCCCATGTGGGTTGAACGGAGGCGGATGAAACGGCCCTTCGACATGTTTGATCTGGACATCTAGAATAGGTTGCTTTCTGCAAATTCCGGTATCCTCTCAAGGAGGACTACAAGCACAAGCATTCATAGGCAGGGCTATTCGCATCCTCGAACAGACTGCAGGGGTGTTGGACGCCCAAATGACGGCCTTTCAGCAGGGCTTGTTGTTCTGGTATGGAGCCTAACATTCTGCGGAGGCGTAATGGCAACCTCTACAGTGATATTTAGCGACCTTATTCCTTATTGGTCTAGAGGTTTTGATAATCCAGACCTTCCAAGCCTATCCCGTGTCTCAGGCAATACGACCTGCTGCAAGCAGTCGTGGTGCGGGGGTTTGCCGAGCGGAAACACCAGCAGAGGCTGTTTCAAGGGATGTGACTCTGCCGTCAAGCATAATTTATTTGCATCAGATACATTACTTTCATCAGCTGGAGCTTTCGTCCTGCAATCTCGATGGGTGGAATTTGCCCTTGTTTGTTGAGATGCTTTGAGATGGTCCGGTGCCCGAATCCGTCTGCTTGTTTGAGCCACTGCCGCCCAAAATCGTATCAGTCGCCCTGTGCATCCTCGTCCTTCAAAGACCATGAGCTACCAGGGACAGATTCTCTACGAAGGCGCGGAGGACACCGCCGAGGAAGTCCTGCGTGCTCGTCCTTCCGGGAAGTCGCGTTGGTATGTTGCCGGTGCCGGGGTGTTGGCGGTGCTGTTTGTTGTGGCGGTGGCGAAAGCCGTGCTCCCCTCAGCCGCCCTGACCTTCAGCAGCGCCAAGAATGCAATTAGTTTGCAGGAGGTGCAGCACTGGGAAGACATCCCGGGCATCGACAAGGTCATCCAAAAGGCGAAGAGCCTGAAGCATGACAAGCCCCTGCGCAACCTGCAGGACCTCTTCTACGACTCTCAGCCCGAGGAGCTGCCCTGGATCCGCACGGAGTGTGTTATCGACGTGGTCCAAGCAGCTGCCTACCTGGACCAAGCCATTGTCTTCTTGTACAAGGCTGTCTCGTGATGGAGAGTTGTTGACGGATTCGGGTAGGGTTGAAGGATAAGCGTAGAGACTGTTGGGGCATGTTGAGGGTGAGACTTTTTCCAGAAGATCTGCGGCTGTGAGGCCATCGACTACAATGGCTTGGAGTGCCCGAACAATAGCCCAGTAGGTTGTGCGGCCAGCGTCGCAGGTGGGCAGCTGTGATGTTGTAGCTGGTGCATGATGCGCTTCTTACCTTGAAAGAAAGAGTGCGCTTTCCTGCTCAGGATTCATCACCTCCATCAGTTGGATTGC